CCCCCACTCCCCAAAAATCCTCACTAAAGAATGCTCTTGCTCCTATAAGCCTATGGTAAGCAAACACATACATCATGTAAAACATATCGAACTTTTACCTGCATTCTATTGTTTAGCATGTCAGAAACCACGATGTTGCCGTCTTTATTGACTGCTAACCCATTGGGTGACTGGAGCAGACCCTCCCTTGTTCCCAGCTTGCCAAAGCGACAAAGAAACTTTCCATTGATGTCAAAGACCTATGACGAAGATATATCATGTTGGAAACGATATACACATCTGACTTTTGATTTTCGGAACTTTTAATAACCTTGCAGTCTTACAACGTACTAGTTGATATGTATAAATTATCATCCTCAAATTTATCTTGTTTACGAGGCTAACATTGAAATATAAAAGAACGCCACAAGTTCTATCGTGTAAGAGGGTGATTACTTTTGCATTTTCATTACAAGAAAGTCTTTATTGTCAACCTCCTAGCTTTACACTGGTGTTAATCAGATTAGGATCCACTAGTATTCCAAAATAAATTGCGAGTGAGATATAATCTTTTTTTTTTGATTAAATAGCTAAAATTAATATTTTAAAAATTGAAAATCAATTGTACTTAAGTAGAGTGTGTTTCATACACCTTTTAGCAATATCTATTTCAAAATTTTTGAAGAGATTTAAAGAAAGGTGTCAAGATACTGGAATACTTTTTGAGTTATTTCAAGTTCAGTACAGATTCTACAACTGGTTAATTCTCTTTGCCAAATTAATCAAAAATGTATTCATCAAACACCTTAGTATAAGTAATATTAGTGGTAGAAGTATCATAAAAAAAAACCATTGAAAGCCAAAGATAAAAATAATATTAGCGTGCAAAGACACTTGGAATACTAGTGGATCCTCGTCTGGGTATTACGGCAGCGTGGTCGTTTTGCGTTCCTTTGCTAGGAAATCAAGTCCATGCCAAAGTAAAGATAAACTATAAATTAAAAAAATGAAATAGAATTTAGCAGTGGCAATTCCATTTTGCATATCATCCATTTATTCTACATTATAAAATTTATTAATTTATAAATGCTGTTCATTGCAGAGGAATAAATTAAACGTGGATAAAACTGATATAAACCTTGAGAATCGAACCACCGCAAAAGGTGTCAGGGCTACCGGCCATATTGTGTCGTGTCTGAAGTGCTCCCAGGTTTTTAATTACTTGATTTACTCCCCACTTTATAACCTCACCTGAATTCTGTGATTTCTAGAATCACTGACAATCACGTGACCCTTGTTGTCAACAGCAACGTCTTGTGGATCAGACAGTTTGCCAAATTTGCCATCGCTACCGGCAAACGACTGCTTAGCGCTTCTCTGTCGAGGAACTGGATCGGAAGGTTTGTCTGTTGTGCTATCTTCAGGATTGGAATTCTTGAAATCAATTTGAAGGTCACCGACGAGTTTCCCACAAGAATAAACATTGATGGAATAAACGCCTTTTACCCTCGGTGTGAAAGTGGCTCTTGACTGTTTTTGATCTGCTTTAGAATTAAACAAAGTTTTTAATTTTTAATTTTTTGTTTGTTTGGCTAAAATGAACGCTACTTTTATTTTCGTCTTTTTTGAATTCGTATTGGTAACCTAAAGGCCAAGGCTTTGCGTTTCTATGTTTGATAGTCAATCATTTTTCTCAGGAAGCCTGAGTAATGGCTATCTTCAAATAAGGGAACGGGGAACGGGAAATTGGTAAAATGTCTACGCGGTAAAATATATTTCTCGTTACAATATTGTAAAATAATTTTCTTTTTTTATTTTATTGAAGTCTAGCAAACATACTTATTTGAGCCCACCATATCTATGGAGTCGCTGAACGTAACAGAAACAAAAGACGAAACTGTTTGAGAATCATTTCTGTATTTGAAATAAAAAATGACAGAGATACCAAACCGGGTCTTTGCGTAAAAAAATATCTCGAAGAACAACCTTCGAGACTCTCTCTCTCCCTCGGCGGGACTGGTTGAGATTTACAAATGTGGTTAGATTACAGGCAGTAGAATCTGATTGACAAATGTGATTATTGGGGTCTCTTTGATTATCTGCAACTAGTTGTGGTTGGAAAAAACGACTTTCGCCGGAACCATCTAGTGATTAAGGATTTCCAGGAACAAGTCAAACTATTGAGTATCATCGCAATGCATCGAAGGCGTAAGACTACTTTATAGTACAATGTCCTCTTCTGAAAATGATGAAGACTTGCAGGATTCAATCTTCGAGTCCAAAAGGTTGYGTATCTTCTTAGCAATACAATAATTTTTCTGTTCCAAACTACTAGTAGTGTATTCTCAAACGCTATAAGGAAATTATCTCAGTCATAGTCTTCAACAATATCGAGACGAAGCTACTTTTTACACAAATGTAGCTCAACGTGAAATCATCCTCAGAAGTCATCCTCAAGAACCCAGTGGCAAAATGTTTCTTGGCCTTTGACATTTATGACGTGAGCTAAAACTCATCAAAAACAATATTTCAACTG